AAGAGAGAGAGAGAGAGAGAGAGAGAGAGAGAGGGAGGGAGAGAGACAGAGAGAGAAGGATAGAGAGACAGACAGACAAACAGACAGACAGAGATACGAAGCAAGTGGGAGAAATGAGCATGAGACACAGAAAAGGGAAGCCAGAGAAACTCAGAAAGAAAAATACACATACAAAAGCAGACGGTTCACCAAAACAACATTTTTCCATCAAACTTGTCCTAAAGTATAAATACCATTCCTCAGTGTGAGGGTGAAAATCTACAACTCAGCAATATTGCATGATCTTGACCTGACGCTAAAGAATATAATTAGGTCCATACACTTCCAACCCACAGGCGAGGCCAGAGGCCTTGGCTTTTCCTTGAGAGATGTGTAGGTTGCACATGCAAGGGCCTAAATCGGCAAAAGAGGGGCAATTGAAATGTGGCCTTCAGCAAAACCTTTTCACGAGATGATAAAAAGGCATAAGCTCTAAAGTGGAAATGTGTTAAAAGGGGAAAGTTTTTAGTTTCAGTAAGAGTCTTACGGCACTTGCAGCACAATAAGGTCATATAAATGCCGAAGATTAGAAGTGTTACAAGAGAATAACAAACACAAAAAAGAAGGATGGGAGATAAAGATGATAGATGTTTGATAGGAAAGAAGAAGCAAACCACACCAGAGCACGTGCCAACCACCAACAAAAGGGGGAGGGGGGGGGACTGAAAGGGAAAAGAACCTCATAAGAGTAAGAGAAGTCGCAACGATCTGGCACAAACAAAGCTATTCCAAGCACAGAACTGCTGAACTTAAAAGTAGAAGACCAAACAATCCCCAGGCAAATTAACTATCCCAGGCCACCCTTGCTTTCATAGGGAAGACTCAACAAACATTTTGAAATAATAATAAGCAAATGACCCAGTTCATATAAATCATGTACATCAAAATACCATTTCGCATAAATCACATACACCAAAGCATCATAAACCACAGTTTGGATATGGACATAAAATATTTATATGAAGCGTGAAACAACAACTGATTAAAATGGAATGTAGCAAAGAAAAGTGATCTGTGGGGACAAAAATCCCAAGAGAGAAGCATGATCCAAAACATTTTGAAGTGTGCAACTGTACATTTCTACAGTGGATAAGCCAAATGTACATTTACAAAAAAGAACAAAACATTATTTTATATATATATATATATATATATATATATATATACAAAATGCAGTTTACAATATTCATTTTTTTTTTTAAACCTATATTTTATTCATTAGTGCTATGGAAAATGTGTACTAAAAGCGTTCCTTTTCAATGACCCAAACAAAAAAAAAATCAAAAAATCCCAAGCTCAGAACATAGTTAACTGCAGAGTGGCACAACAATTTTGTGCAATAGTACACACAAAAAATCACCATTGTGCTCTTTTTAAAAAATAATAGCAATGCAGTAAAAATACAATCAGATACAGATGATGGGGAAAAAAAAGAAAAGAACAAATTGTGTGTACAAGCACCATGGTTGTTTTGCTTTGAGGACTGGAATGGAGTGATTTGCTGTTCATTTCCCCTTGCTTTTACAGAAGTTTCTGACCTGACAATAGGAAGCCAAATTGCAGCAAAACTGAATAAATATAAGGACTGAATTCAGCCTAAAAGATTGAACAATTTATTTTATAAGCATCCCCATTAACACAAAATAGATTTTTTAGGCGGACCTCCACTGTCTGTAGAGGCAGACCATTTTCCCAACTAGGGAATCAAACTCTGATCTACTGCCTGCGACAGCAAAGTGCCTAAACACTACACCACAGCCCGGCTAAAATAAATTGAGTATGGAATGCAAACAAGATACACTGAGGCAAACAATGTCTTCAATAAATTCATCGCTCTTGTAAGATAATTGGTGAAGTCATTTTTGGCCAGTCTGGAGTTTTTGTTCTGAAATGAAGAGCAGAGCCAGTTAATTAAAAAGTTTACTTAGACAAAAGAATAAACCAAATATAAAATTAATTGAGTGTATCAAAATTCTAGCATCTCAGTGTCAAATGTTTTTCCTCATTTTGATTTTCTCAAAATGGTTAAAAATGATTCGGGCATTTATGAGCGTGATGAATTAAGACAGGCCCCTGAAGCAATATCAGAAATTGTATACGTAAATGTTATACAACTCTTTTGACACAATTTAGAAAACTGAAAGGGAAGGACTGCTTTGACCCTGCCCATCAGGGCTAACTCATGCTGAGAGGGATACTACATCCCAACAGAGAATTTATGGGATCCTTTTCTCTTAACCTTTTGAGCCCTGACCTCCTGAGGCCACCGTGCCCCTCTGCCTGAGCTCCTAATCGTCAGAATCACATTTCAAATCTCACTTTAAAATTTCATGAGTAAACCAAAAGATAACGATGGCTAAATGGAATGATTGGAACACATGATGATACAATTGCTTCAAATAGTCATAAATCTCACATATGTACATTTCATTCTGATGAATCAAAGGCAAGACAGGCTTCGTAAATCCCACCTCAATACACACACCATTAAAGGAACAACACCTAGAACAGCAGACATCTGTCATGGCACAAACATCTGCTTCCCAAAGCTGAAAGACAAGAAATTATTCTCTCCATGTAGTGGCTTTGGTGTTACCTTAAATGTCAAGCAAAGAGCACAAACATATTGCCATAAAGAAATTTTCTTTGGTTCATTTGTTCTATAATATCATTTAATTATGAACGTTGTAATATGGCTCACAATTTACAATCCTTGAACAAACTACACATCAAGTTGTCATAAAAGACAGCTGCTAGCTTTAAATAATTTTATAGAAAATTGCTTACCTTTACTAATAAGATTCTAATTTTGGGCAACTGAGTAAATATATATCTCCAATCTATATTTTGGACAGAATAAAAGAACAGCTATATCAAAAGACTATTTAACCTCATCATAGACAGAGTAAAAAAGCTGAAAAAAAAGAATGCATGCACATCAGCTCAGCCATCACTATTAACCATTAACTACATGAAATCGTACGGTATATTCTCAGAACCTGAACCCTACTTCGGTCTGTATACCTTCAGGTTTGATCATAAAATAGCCTGATCTCTCAGGGCATCTTTACAGAAATGTTACCGGTGAAATCAAGTCAGCTGATTATACAAGAACAAAACTGCACTCACAATCATTGAAACAAACTTTCTTTTTTTTAAATTCCATGCTTAAAAATACACAGTACTTTAAAGTCATTTCTTCTTACATCTCTTCTGTCTCCATTGTATGCAGACCAATCAAAGGGTCCTGCATTTTGATAGCGCTCATACCACAGAAGTACATACACCTCTGCATGACTTGTAACAACTGGCTCTACTCCATGACCCACAAACTTCTCACACACAATATTTCAAACTTACTGTGACCAGGTAGCCAGCACCTGGTTCGGTGGGAAACAGAAGTTCAGGAATAATACATTCAAGCTACAACTATTAGATCTTTTCATCCATCAGAAGGCAGAATCAATTTTCGCCCCAATTTTGGCTGAAATACACTTTAGAAAGTAGCCATAGTATTTATAAAAAAAGGGAAAGTGTTTTACTTCTCCAGGGATGTTTGACCATGAGCAATGGCACTTTTACACTAACTCATCAGCCCCCACAAAAAAAAAAGATAACAAAGGAGTCAACGCTAACAGCAAAAAAAACAAACAACAAAAGCTAAAGACCGTTTCTTTACAAGTGATAAAGAATTTTTCTTTGGAGACCTCATAATTAACACACAGAAAAATAGGACAGAAAGTGAATGGTCATTCCTTGGTGATAACATCCAATTTTAACTTCAACCACTGTAAGATAATAAGCAAGACATGTACAGTTACAAACATTTGAGCTAAATGTCAAATATAGCATCCTTTATTTAGTTTTAGTAAGGTTTTACGGCGCTCGCAACTGCATAAGGTCATATGAGCGTCAAGGAGTGGATGTCAACAGAGAAGTCCAAACGGGGAAACAGGCTTACTCTGCTCACCTCTCTAGCCTCAACAGCACAAAGTCTGCTTCGGATATCAAGGCACCCCGGAAATAGCAGTTCGCAAGAGAGTGACAAACATACAAAAGAAGTAGAGGAAAAATGACGATAGTAAGGATGAGGAAAGGAAAATCAGAAGTTCCCCTATGTTGTTCCACATAGTATGAGCATGACATTGATAAATCAGCCCATTTACAACTCTACTGTTCCTAAGAACAAGTTAATATCCCCACAATATATTATAGTATCCATGTAATAAACATTTTTAAAAAAACTCCAATGATTTTAACTCACCCTGAAAATTAAGGTCAAACAGAGTAACTCATTTTCTTTCTACAGTGACGAAATGCTCTTTCAACATGCACGGCACACTGCCTTCAATGGCATAATTCCTTTTCAAAATTAAGCTATACAAAACATCCATTTTACAATGAGAAATCAACTGCACACACCGGACAAGAATTGCAAATTGGAAGACGATGGGAGCAGAACAAGAATTAACATTTTAAAAATTGGAAGTGGAATCTTCAGTCAGTTTGGTGAGTAAAGCCATCAAATAAAATCAAATTGCTGAGCAGGAGAAAAAAAATAATACTATCCATTATTTGTGGGCAGACATAAATTTTTCTGACTTGTTGAGAAAATTTAAGTTTCAAACTATACACTCTCATTGGAAGTAAAATTCATAGCCAGTGACGCTTGGTAGTCATTCTCACTTGTTCTTTTTCTTTAAAAAAACAAAATATTGTGGACATGAATATTTCTAAAACTAATGAAAACTTTTATCAAAATTAACTAGTTCTTCAAAGCCAACAATCAAAGTATCTTTATTTATACAGCTCAGCTCCTATGTGTCTTAGCTCTTAGTCCAAGAGTACAGTGCATGATTTTAAAAAAAGAATTCCATTACAAAAACCTTAAGGCATAATGACAAAAACTCTACTTACAAGAACATTGAATTTGACAATATCTGATGCCACAAACAAACCTGTTGCCAGTGTCGCAAGAGGCCTGCCTAACCTACAAAAATTTGAAGTTTATTACTACAGGCTAAAATACATTTTTACGTACAGATAATGCTGAGTACAAATTCTGAGTCAACAGTTTCTTGGCAAGCAGTTTGTGTGGCAGAGAGTCGTGGACACCTCTGTAGAAAAAGAACAATTGGGCCAACTGAAGACTTTATTTAAACAAGTAAAATTACTGCTTCTCACCGCTCAAAATACTTCCATCTTGTTATAACGAAACCCACTGTGTTTACTATTTTTTCTTCAGCCAAGAAAGACTAGTTAGTGCAATCAGTAATACCAATTGCAAGCAAAACCAGTGTCATGCTTTTTGGTGTAAAAGATCAAGTAGGTCATCCCCCAATGAGTACTAAGGAATGAGTCACCACAAGCTCCCTGTACACAATAAAGATGAAATCAGCTTTTTATTTAAAGACTAAGGCTTTAAATGTTTCATATCCATTATTGAATAATAGGCCTTTTAGCCCAATAACTCAGACAGCTAGTAACAGCATATATCATCACAACTGTACAGAAACTAATAACAGAAAAAAGACCAAAGTCTGTTGGGTCTTCGTTTTATGTGTGGACAATCAAACTGAAGACTCTCGAAGACAAGCAGAGGGAGCAAAGTTGGCAGTTTTCTGAGGCTTTGGCTTGACTCCCCAGATGCCTCTGTGAGGTGTGGGCTTGAATCTCCTACTGCGGGCGTGAGATGGGTAGGCATAACCGGGCAGTGTAGGTCGAATTGAGAGCACGCTGTCCCTGTCTCCGACACTCCGCTCCGAGTGATTGTAGCCATTCATTGAGGAGCTATCAATTTCGGAAAGGTGTCTATCAGGGTAAAAGTCACTGACAGATGAAGGAATAGCTATGCTGTGAAAATTCTGCTCCTCCATGACGCTGTGTGGAGGTGTGGGTGATGGTGGGGGAGGAATACTCAAAGACTGATGATACTGTATATTGCAGTCGGTGTTTGATCGAGGCATTGACAGTGCTTCCTTCCTGGCCAGATAACGAGACGCTCCTGGTGCTATTGCAATGGTCGCCGACTTGCCCATGCGAGGTCCATCTCCATTGGTATAAACTGGAAAATTGTCAGAAAGGAAGAAATTTAACTTGTTTGCTTTAGTGGAAAAGAAACATCAGACACTAGAAACAGAATGCAGTGACATTTTGGTAGCATCCATCAAACTTCACAGTCACAGTCACATGAAATTTATTTAACCTCCAAAGTGCTTTAAAGATAGGAAGGAAGAACAGCTGTACTATCAAAAAATAAAAACCATGAGGCGAGAGTCCCTTTAAAAAAAAATTCCTTGTCAGGAATTGGTGCCCAATATTTGTAGGTAATGTAGAAAATACGTCAACATGGTTGTCACTTAAACTTCAAGGGGAAAAAAATGGCGACAATGATGATGACCAAATTGTATATTAGAACGAAGTGCAGGATTCATCTTGATGATAGAATATTTCTTTGGTTCCTACACTAGATCCCTTTAGGCTGTCCTGAGGGGCAGGGCACAATCTTCATTCCCTGCTCGTGGCACAGAAAGACCAAAATTTGGAAACAAGTCATCATCAGAGTGCCTAACATTTAATAAGAAGGTGAGCTTTCATCTCCTAGTACTAGTGCTACCAGCTTAAATAACAAAAGTGGAGCGCATTTTTACTTTCAATTTCATTTAACATACATAGGTAATAACTACAGTAGCAGCTTAGTATCTTGAATTAACAACTTTCCTTCTTCTAAAAAGCCAGGGCTCCCCTTTAAGCACAAATGGCGTATATTACGCATTAAACCTGCAGATTACCCCCTTTATGTTTTGGTTGAGCGTGAGCTCTACTCTTTATAATTTCATTTCGGGGGTTTGCATACGCTTTAAAACGTTGGTGGTGTGCGTCTGGCAAGCACTATTTCCCCCCTTCTCTATCCCAAAGCCGAGTAAAAAATTTGACAACACACCTACACACATGCACGCAGTCACCTTCTGTTTCAGAAGAAGACGACTAGTCGACCTACTTATCAGCTGAGCGCAGTTTCCGGCAACACCGGTTGGCTTCAGCGCAGAAGCTCCGCCCACATTCTGGTGGTTCACATTTGCCGGTGTCGTGCCTAATTGAGTTCATCCCTGTCGTGAGATTACCTCCGTCCTTCTTTAACACACTAGTAAACATGAATTGTCCGCTATCGAAAGTCTGTAAAGACTGGAATGTGAACCCTGGGATGGGCTCTGAAGAATAATGAATCGTTTCCAAACCTGCCACCCATCCCTGCCCTAATTCTCAAGCATCCCGATTTAGATCGCGTGTACCCCGATTTAAAAAAAATTAATTTGTTCCATCTGTTGCGCCGGATTTTTCTAAAATCTTACTCTGCCTTCTTTTCTGTCGTTGGAAGCACTTGTTAAACTTGTCAGCCGAAACTCGGAGAACCATTTTGCGAAATGTCTATGTCGAATTTAGAATCTAGTAGCTGACTCACCAAAAGTTGTGTCGGATCTTTGCTCATACGTGTTTTTTCAACTTTAATGGAAGTAGTATTGATTTGGCATTCCGATCTAAGACATTCTCAAGATCTACTTTCGCCAAAACATGCTTTGTCCGAGTTCTGGTTAGTCGGGCCCGTCATCAAGACCCTTCAGTAAAACTGTTTCAATCGTGCGTTAGCACTACGTGACATGACTTCGGCGTGTGAGTTCCGCGTGTGTCGGGGACCGTCCGTTGACGGGGTCAATTTAAGTTCATACGCACCGGTTGAAGCGTCTTTCGGGACTTATCCGGGGGGGGTAAAACACTCGGACTAGGAGGCCAAGACTTGAAACTTCAGGATAAAAAAATAAATAATTATAAAACACACACACAGGCGCGGACACACGCGCGCACACACACACACACACACACACACACACACACACACACACACACACACACACACACACACACACACGTGTGGGTACACGCTCGCAAACATAAAATGTCACATACACCACACACACGTGCGCGCACAGGGGGAGTATACATGGATGTAATAATGGACACCCCAGGAAATTTTTTGAAGTCAGCTTGGCAGTGACCTAGATTCTAGGTGATTTGTCGTTGATCCCGATTTTTTTCACCAAGTCCCAATTTTTTTCCCCTACTGAGATCCTGACTCGGGAGTGACAGGTCTATTTTCCTTGGTGTATTATAGTCGGAGTTGGTTTGTCAATTTGATTTTATTTTTGATAGGCCCAACTGCTCAACCACCACCACTCGTCCTGCCTCAATATGGACACAACTCTAATTCTAGTCAATATTACTAATTTATTTCTTAAGTTAAAAAAAAAATCGTTAACATTCAATCACAGTCATGGTCACTCTATGTGTGTCTGTGTGAATGTGCGTGTGAGTTAAATGTTTACAAGCAAAAATTCTTACTATAAAATTATGCAATATTGACTTTTACCCTTTAAGTTTCTAAAACAAAGGTTTAAATACCCCTCAAGATAGTTAACCAAAGGGTGGAGAAACCTCTTAAGCTGGCCTGAAAAGGGGAGCCTTGAAAGCACATTTCATTTAATTTTATTCAATATAAGGTAAGAATGACATAGACATTCTTGCTCATTGTCACTGTTGGATCAATTTTCATAGCCTTTTCATTTTCACTTTACAAAAAAACAAAACATTTTTAATAAAGTTTTTAGTCTGAGTTTTCAGCACTTGTAAAACAAATAAGTCATAAGATTAGAGGTGTTACTACAGAGTACAGCATACAAAGAAAAGAAGGAGAGATTATAAGGATGATAGATGTTTAGGAGGAAAGAAGGAGCAAGCCACACCAGTGCACAAGCAAACTATCCACTAACATTTTTGGCTCCTGGATAATAAATCAAACCCAGAAAGCCTTTACATAAAAGTACCTTTGCACATAGTATGCCTTCAGTAAACAAAAGAAAATCACTATGAATGAAAGGCTTAAGACATATAAACACAAGATATAATGTGCTGGAACTGAGCCTGTAAACGTTCTCTGGTAGTGAGCTTTTCTAGAATTTTTTTAAAAAGAGAATGTCTGAAAAAGCGACAAATGAAAGTTGATTGGTAGTATTGATTGCAATTCTTTTCTATGCCTACTAGAAAGGCAACATTTATAAAGAAGTGGTAGAAACATCCTGATTCCCATACAAAGAATTCAGAAGAATACACATGGCCCAGTAAACCCAGCTCCTCCCACAACCTGTTATCAACACTTGAGTAAGGTAAGACAGTGCAAGCACGAGATAAGGTAACAGGAAGAGACTCTGCTCCCCCTGAGGCGAGGGGATACAATATTATGTGTAAATTGTTCCCTCTCGACTCGGGTTTGAGGATCCTGTGTCGGCATCTCCGCAACTTCATATTTAAATAAGTATTAAGTCTATAACCCAACTGTGATCTTGCTACCTGCAAAACCCTTACGAAATTCCAAAAATAATATCTGCCACTGTACTAGCTACCTACTAAGGTCCTCTCTTCAATTGTCTTGGCCCGCTAGTATAGGTTAATACTAACAAGGTCACCATAGCAGAGACTGTGCCCACCATTTCGGAACTTCACGGTGACATTAAAGATGGTTCCAGTAGGGAACGGGATAGCGGGTGTCTACATCCCTCGTGACTCATCAGAACAGAGGAAGATAGGACTAATGCTGACATTATTTTTAAAAAACAACAGCAACGAAATAACAGAAGCATGTCTTCTTAATAATTATAAACATAAGCACCATCCCACATCATCACTTATCACCACCATCACCGTCATTTCTAAAGTCATCATTGCTCTCAGATCCTTCACAAACATCTATAATTATCTTAAACATCTATATGCAACAGTTATATGTCATAACAATTTTGTACACATTATTGGGCACTCTCATAAGCACATTTTTCTACTAATCAGATGGCGTCAATATCATAGAAATGGGCAAGGGACAAAAAACAGCAAGAGACTATTCCTGTTTCATCTCTACAGATGCCGTCACTGATTTCATTAAACAGGAGTTTGTTATTTCTTCTTCTGTTCAGTGCTAATCATAAATTATATTTTCAGGGATAAAGACAGTTATGTCTAGCCCTGAGGCCTGCCAAGGAACACATTTCCTCATCCACATCATGGGAGATGGTAACGCACTGTAAGGAATTTCTGGGATCAGGTGACATATGATGTGGGTTTGCCCATGAGGCTATTACAGTAGCCATGAAGGCCATCCCAAGTCACCCAGAAGTGTGAGGCTAAAGGGGCTCAGGTGGAGCTGTGACAAGCCTAGCAAGCTGACAATGGATATTAAAATCCTGCATAGGGTACACAGATAAACAGTAAATAAAATGGTTTGGACAAGTGTCCTGACAGATGTCCAAACCACCCCCAAACAGCACAGCAGCAAGAGTATACAACCAGAGATCAAATGGATACAAAGGAAGAGGTAGGTCCATAAAAAAATGGATTGACGGAGTCAGAGAAACAGACAAAAACCATGAAATAACCATGCCACTAGCAATACAACAAACAAGAAAAGAGTTTGCTTTTTGCCCTTCACACCGTGAGGTAACGGAAGCCAGAAAAAGTAAAGTCCAATATTTAAGAATAATTATACAGGTTTTGTACATTTATCTTAAATTCAAACCTTGCTTCTCTCAATCCTTTGAAGACATGACTACAAGTTAACAGACTTGTTCTAAAATTTAGTCCTGTTTTTGTGTACTTTCATCAAATGTGCAACTATGAAAACACTTAAAGTGTCATTCATTTAGATTGAAGTACATGTCAAACAAGACTCACCAAGTTCTTTACGGATGGACTCCTCGTATCTGTCTCTGTCATAGGCCAGGGGTGACGGTGATTCCTCCTTTCCAAAGTGTTTACGCGCGAGCTGACAAAAACCATCGTAGTGGGAATCGTCTGATAATTGCTTTGTGAGGTTCGACCGATGGGAAGACAAGAATTCAGTGTCAGCATCAGAATGGAGGACATAGCTCTCTGATCTGTCATTAATACCTGAGTATTTCCGTGCAGAGGAAGACACGCTTCTGTGGTCCTCAAGAGCTCTCCCTCTAGGTTCTGTTTTCGAATCTGTGCCTCTTAAATCCTCAAAGTGCGTAGAGTGTGGTTGTGGCACAAAAGACAAATCTGAAAAGTTTAAAGGCTGCTTTCTGGCCATGTCAAGACTAGTCAGGTGATTAAATCTTATTGGAGCACCTCTAGTATCAATTGAGTCTTCCAGACCCTCGTCGCTATCAGAATCCTTGCCAGTAACAGCAGTGCGACTTAGCTTAACAGTGTTGTGACTGCTGTCTCTCATCAGCTGGGCCAGTTTACGGCGGGCTCCTTCTGCTCCATAGACATCTGATGAGTCCATGTGAGAAGCGAGAGAATAACCGGGGCCAGAGACTGGCCTGCTCTGTTCATCATCAAGTCTAACCTGCAATGGTCTGTCCCTCTCTAAAGAGTCGGCTAAATTAGAAGAATGCTCATCTCTGCGATTTGAATACTTTTTCAAAAAATCAGAAGATTCTGGATATTTGTCATCAGATTCCAGAGCATCCGAAAACATATCTCTGTGGTGAGATCTATCAATTGGCCTTGAGAATTTTCCCTTGCCAGGCAAGGTTTGGCTTTTGCCCACACTACGACCAACACGAGATGTTGGAATTTTACTGTCCAAACTTGAGTTTTCTTCAGTAAAATATTCCACTTTTGATGATTCTTTGAACTTGGAATTGTAAGCACCACCAGAGTTCCCCGATTTGTCTCTTCGGTGGTTGACTTCTGATAGCTGTCTGTGCAGAGGTCTTGACCTGCGACCTCTGTCATTCCCACCAGGAGGAGGACTGGTTGGCCGGGAGTCATCTATATCCCATTTATCGTAGTCTATTTCAGTAAACCGTGAAGGTTGTGGAGTCAAAGGGCGAGAAGGAACACGAATTCCACGGCTGCTCTTTTTACGAGAGGCCGGCGATACTGACCGAGAGTAAGCTCCTCTGGACAAAGGAGATGATGGCTGGTTACGAGGAGAATTTCCCTCCGTAGGTGTTGTGCACTCTTCTATTTTGTCAGAAAGAGCCAGAGGTAACGAGAAAACCCAGTGGTCTCCAGTGAAACGCTTGCGGTTAATGTCTTTGCCCAGACTGCGACGCTGGTAGAACAAAATGTATGCATCCTTCGTCACAATCTGAGCATCAAGATGAGTGACCTTAGTATCGTTGAACTCCCTCCACTTGGCATCAATGGGACTGCGGCAGAAAGCCGTGTAATGTCCCCCCATCATATTCCCATAATGGTTGCAGACGCCCAGAAGCTCATATGTGTAGTCATCTCGTTTCAGTAGTCCGTTCTGGATGTTCTGATGTACAAGATGTTTCGACATGTCCAAATCATCAATGGGGAAGTCCACAAGGGTGTTCAGCTTACTGCGCCTCAGACCAGTCTGCAGATGAATGAGAGTCACAATGAGAAAAAGAGGTGACATCATTTGGGGTGGGTGGGGGGGGGGGGTTCTTCGACCCTGCCTGTCAGGGCTAGCCCATGCTGAATCGGATACAGCATCTCAGCAGACAGACAGACACTCTTGATAAAATAACTTACCTAAACGGGTCACACCTTTTACAAAGAGCCTTACCACTGCATCATCAAAGCCAGTCTCACTTTTTACAACAAAGTTTAATTAACAAAAATATTATAAGCACATATTTTGTAATAGCAAGCTCTTTTTTATTGTACTTAACTAAAGTACCTATCACACAATCTAATGCCTTGTCACCAAACAGTGCCATAAAGACATAGCCTATAAAAAAACAGACAGAAAAATTTCAAAGGAACATCATAAAACACAGGCTTAAGGAACTACAGTCGAACCTGTCATGACAGACACCTATACAAACGCCCACTTTCCCCATGCGTTTTTTCTATATAATTTAACTTTGTAAAACGGTCACCTGTACAACGCGGCTGAGGTCACCTTCTTTTATCAACCCATGATCAAATTTACCTGCCTCAGCTCATTCCTTGACCGACGCTTTGTCATAAATTTTGAATCGGCCCCTCACACAGTGGACGGGCTGTCACAATTCATTCCGTCCAATGAAAGTTTACCCAAGTCGACCAATGGGTAGGCCTATCAATAAATTTTCAACTGCTGGTGAGGGAAGCATGTGATCCGTCATAACCTATATAAGCCCGCCCACAACTCATGCACAAATTCTATGTGAGGTGACTGGTCACTGTTTTGTTTACCTAATCTGTAGCAAAGTAACAATGGACGTTGAAGTGAACTTGCGACAGAAGCGTCGCTCCTTCTCCGAGTGGTGTTTGTTTTACCATCGCATTCCGTCTTCATTGTCTAACTTACATCATGTTTCGTTAATATAACCCTTGCACAAAATCAGAAAAACAAAAAGAAAGCTTACCAAAAAACAAACCAAAAAAACACAAAAATCCCCTTCTTACACCATCCTTTTCAAAATAAAACAAAAACCCTTTTTAATTAGCCCTATGGCAGTCTATAGTCTGCAATCCGCCCCGTTTTGGACCCCAGAAGAGAATGATTTGCTTTCTTCATTTTGACCAGTCTTGCCTAAGAAGGCCACCTGTGTTATACGGTCACTTTTCTCCTTGACAATGGGTGGCCGTCTTACAGGTTTGACTGTATGTAAGTTGTCCTTGGGTTCAGTATTAGTTTCCCTCTAAAAAAAAGAGCAGCCAGTGAAATAAATCTATCACAATAAGATTTCGCTCAGTTTTCACATGAAGAGAATAGCAGTGACACAAGGAGGGTCCAACCATTTTTAAACAATATCCATAAAAGCTTATATAAACGTTTGTTTAGGTAGAGGTTTTACGGCGCGCGCAACTCATATGAGCGCCAGAAGATTATTGGTGTTACAAGAGAGTAACAAACATAAAAAAGAAGAAGGGGAGATAAGGACGATAGATGTTTGATAGGAAAGAAGAAGCAAACCACACCACAGCACCCGCCAACTATCCACCTTATATAAACACAGAAAGACAAAAGTCCAAATGCAAAAAAAAACAACCTATGAAATAAATATACTAACTTGCTTAAATCTTTTCAAGTGCAAAACCAGCACATCTGGAAGAGACCACAAACCCAGCGTCTTGATGGTGCCTTGCTGCTGCTGCTTACAGTGAGGACACAGCCATGCATCATCACCAACAAGCTGTAACAGTAAACATCAGAATAGTTAAAACAGCATCATCACCAACATACATAAGCGGTATATAAGAACAACATCATAACTGACAAGCTTTAGCAGTATATATATTTAACACAAACTGTAACAGTAAGAACAGACAAAACAGCATCATCACCAACAAGCTGAAACAGTAATAAATATGGGTCATTCCACCAGTACAATTTATCATTTAGTAACATTTATGTTCAAATTTCAAATTTTTTTCTTGTTAATGCATTGTGGCAAGTTGTCACAAACAGGGTCTTATTATTTGTTCCTGAAAATGCCAGACCTCTTTGATAATCAGGGCTGGCACAGCATGCCATGAAAACACAATACCCTGGACTGTGATGAATGTTACATCATAAACAAAAAACAACAATGACCTCATATTCAGACAAATGTAAAGTTAACAGCTCATGTGAATGCGTTTTACTTATAAAAAAAACTCGAACCACATGAAAAAAATCATAGAAATTAGCCCGAATGTCAACTGAAATGACATCAAAATGTGAGGAATGTTACAGGACAAAAATACTGATTTTATTCAAACGTTTTTTAAAACTTTGTTCTCATTGCCAGCACGCAAGGCAAACAATGGTTCTGCAGTAGAAAATAAGATAAGATAAGATAAGATACATCTTTATTGTCCAGATCCTGGCACACTGGTTTGATGTTTCATCACGTGTACATACACACACACACACACACACATAGGCCTACAATCACATGCATAATATAAATGAGCAGCAATATAAACAATAATTGTAAGCTAGATACACACTCAATGTTATTTTGATGCAAGCTCTAAGGTCGTAAGTATATTTATACAAGATGGTTAAGATGGAAGCATTTTGATAGACGACTGTAAAAATGACTTTCTATATCTTTCTTTGTTACAGATCAGAAGCCTAGGTCTTTTACTTCTGACTGATATTTTTATTTGAGGGAACAAGAGATGTTTGTTGTCTAAAAAGATGGAATTAATTTTTTTAGTGCAAGCTGTCATGTACAATTCATCCAAGAAGGGGAATGTAGATGTAGAAATTTTACATGTTTTCCGAATTAGTCGACTTAATTTTTCTTTATTTTCACAATAAACCTTAAAACCAAACATATTTCAAACTAAACTATGTTTAGTGACTGAATATTTCAGGACAGAATTGAGAAAAATTCAGTAAACTTTGACTAAAAAAAAATTCCAAATATCAGCACTGTTGAAAAAAAGCTTTAAATAGAAGGAACAACATTGAAAGTAACCAGCAGTTCACAAGTGAGGTGTTTGAAAACAGATTTCTACATAAAATGTGAGAAATGTTACATAACATGAATTTCATTTTCTTCCCCACAGCTACGCCAGATTGAAATCAAGAGATTTCACTTTCCTCCTTATACAGATTATTTTGTAGATTTATACACAAATGTAACCATCCATCCATGTAAGTTTACATGTTTTCCAGTCTGTCCCAGAAACCTGAGGAACGTTACTTTTTGCGAACATCGTGAAGATAGTTTCATTGTATCGTGAGGATTGTTTCATTGTTTAACATTGCGGACGTACACAAAACGTCTTGTCCCATGGAAGCTGCCTTCTAGAAAGGAAAGATTCAACTCTGAAAATGAAAGATCGGCTTCTGCGCATGGCATTGGAAAACGTGCCGGTGAAAAAAAATGAAACGCACTAGGAGAGACAAAGGCCATCGGGAATGTTACATTTGGATGAACATTTGCTCCATTTTCAAAACGGCTTGAAAATACGAAATTACACAGAATCCTGCTAAATTCTTCTCTTACTAAACAGTGCAGGAATGGTTCAGCATCAGTTTCCTATACAATGGAAAAAAACTGAACCCTCCCTATTGTGACTTTTTGAGAACATGTTTTTCCAGTTCAAAACGGACAAACACATGTAACAATCCTCACAACTAAACAACGGGCCTCAGCGACCTCATACTGGGAAAGCGTGTGTTTTTTGCATGCACTGTTCTAAAGTCCTGCTCATTGCTAATGGAAAGGGGCCTTTTTATACATGAAACAAACAGTTTTGTTGCTTGGAGACCAAACCCATTACCTGCACCATTTCCTTGTTACTTTTTTTACTCAGAAAAACACCTTTTTTTTCCATATGACTGTTTCTTATCTTAAAACATGGACTCCTAACAGTTTTTCAAGCTTATCAGAGATTCCTCAACATTATTTTTTGCCCTTGTACCAAAATAAGTATGTTTGATGTCTTTTGGTGGTTGTAGTTGACATTCAAAATAGACTAGGTAATAAATAAACAGTTCTGGTGGAATGACCCATATAAGAATAGAGATAAAAACCATTGTGAACATTTTCTCTTAAAAAGCATATTCATCATTTTCATTTTTTTAAGATGGAATAAACCTGATATAGCCTGTCAAAAAAGACCTGCACTTAATCCAAAAACTTTGTCAAAATGCAACTAAAAACAAAACTGTTGATGTCAAAATTCTGAATGGAATTCTAAGAGTCAGGCTTGACCCAATCTTCTCTCTTAAAACAAAAAAGTATCTGCTTCAAGCGTAAATCCAGCCCCTATTTCAGTCCATGTTAAATTGAGACAGGAAGAAAAAGAGATCCCTATTCTAGGAACTAACTGCGATATAATAGTCTGACCCCCCCCCCAACAACAACAACACAGCAGAATATGACAGCAAAAACTATTTCTTTCACCTTTTCCTCTTGTGTATAAAGCTTGAAACACTCTTCAAGAGACACCTTTCCCTGGCCAGGTGGGTTTGTCTGGGCCTCCTTCACAGAGGGATGAATGTCTATTTCCTCTTTGTCCATTACCACCACTCTGGAAATAAGGATTATAACGTTAAAAAATTATTTTTTTAAAAATGAAGCTGCAGTCTTTCACAAAAAATACAAATACATAGTAGGTTGTAGATGATACAAGTTGCACAACTTTTGACAAATATGTCTCTTGCTTTACTGAACCAAATCCCCAGATACACAACCCAGCTAATAGCTAAAATAGTATACTAATTGACTATTAATGTTTTACACCCCCCCCCCCCCCCCACACAATTTATATACCACGGACATGGACAGAGACTGCTTTGAGCCTGCGTGTAGAGCCTACGGATTACACCTCAGATGATGCCACTGCTGCAAGAGGCAAACAGATAAAGACAGCGAAACATCTTAAGTTCCTCCTCCAATGCATGGCAGAATGGGTGCCTTTCAAAAACGTTAGTAAGGAGCTCTACATCTTAAAGGACATCATTGCTCACTAGTTTTAAGGGCTTTTCTGAAAAAAAAACACCCTTGTAACAGTTTTTCTTAGCCACTTCTCACCTTTTCTTAGTATGAGTATCCCATTCTGCTATAACTTTAATATGAGGAGGTCCAAAGTCTGCATTCAAAGTGCCAAGCCCTCTGCAAAAGAAACAGAAAAAATACAATTTTAGGATACAAAAAGTATTGTTTCCTACTCCTTCCATTAGTTCAGACAATGAAGATTTTATACTGACATTTCAAAAGCACACATTAAAAAAAATTCACCTCCCCCCTCTGCCCTAAAAAAATAAACAAAAAACAAAACAACCCCCTCACAAAACACACATACATAAACACACACACACACACACACACACACACACACACACACACACACACACACACACACACTTTCTAGAGAAAAGAGACCTGAAATAAGAAGGAGGAAGTGCTGTAGATAGTGCACTTTATCAAAATCCCCCCAAAAACCATACCAATGTACAGCAGTTTCAGAATCTAAAAAAAGGGGAAAAATATATATTTACAGCCGAACCTGTGTAAGACGGAATCGCAAGGGAGCGGGAAAAAAATCCGCTTTAGACAGGGGAATTTAGGGGGGGGAATGGGGTGGCGGGGTTCAAAGGCCCAGCCGGTGAGATCAAGGATCGCTTGTCCGATCGGCAAGCAGTGGTCAAAACTTCACACCTCTCAGCTGCTATCCAGTCTGATAGTGACATGCGTCAGTCTTACTTATCCAATTACCACCAGTGCTTGCCTTTCATAGGACCACTGATTGACCTATTAAAAACAGAAACGTTTGAACAGCTCCTTTGCTTCCACCCTTAGTCCCACCCACCAATGCCACCCCTCACTGCCATCATTGTAACAACGATTCGAGGAACTCTTTTCTCAGCAGGCTGTATGATCAGGGCGGCAGGCACTGGTCAATCTAATGTCACACCTCTGGCTTCTGGCTACCCAGGAAAGTTTCCGTAGTGGCTGGCTACTCGAGCACTCTCACGGGAAGTCGTGAGATATCACACCCACACTACACTGACCATCTGTAGCCCTCAGTGCTCACATGATGGGGTAACATCTACCCCCATTGCACCCCTACTCCCCTTCCTCACCCAGCGGCATGGCCATGGCGTTAAGTTTAGAGCCGGCGGAATCAAACTTGCAAGTTTTGTTTCAAATCAGGGCTGAGCGGGCAAAGCATTTTCCGTCTTAGACAGGTGAAACCCTCGGAAGGGAGCGGATTTTTCTTTCTGTTTCCACGTTGGACAGGTTTCCGTTTTATACAGGTAATTAAAGAGGAATATATCAAGGGGGGAGCGGGGAGATTCCGTAAAGACAGGTTTCCGTTTTATACAGGTTTCCGTTAAGGCAGGTTCCACTGCATATCTATAACACATGACAAAGAGAAATGGATAGACACTGACAAGCAGTCCTGACGCCTCATTAAAAAAGTTAAAGAGTGTCCACAGTTATCAAACTTCCAGTTGAGAAAAACAAAAATAAATAACCAATAACAGTTCTTGAAGGACAAGCTTTCACCACAGTTTCCACTGGGCACAGTTGCCATCTATCCTAAGCCCTGAACAAAGCGACAGATCCAGTACCACTGAAATTCCATTGATGCTGTATTTCCAACAGCCTAATTACAAGTACATATTCGAACTTCAAATGCATTTCTGAAAAAAAAAAAGCTTTGAGGTTAATATTTTGGGCGTTATTTGTAAAATTAAACATTTATTTTTTTACTTCTATTGCTAGACATATTATTATAAGGGCTAAAGGTCTTACATTTAAAAAAATGTTTTTTTAAAATCCAACAAAAAAACTTCAATTCAATTCTTCAAACAGTTTCGTGAACTACTAATCCTAAATTTCAAGCAGACTCGAACCTCTCTGCAGCCTGAGTATAGAGTGGCATCTCCACATCTGAGTCAAGATAAGTGCAGTGGGAGCTTCCCTCATAAACTTTGAGGTCAAACAGATTACTCAGTTTCTGAAATAGGACAAAGTCTTTTATGACAAACAAAACCAGAGCAAAGTGTAACATTTATTAAAGTGTACATTTGCATGTGAGATGGTGAGGAAGAGGGAAAAGAGGAGAGGGAGAGACAGAGAGAGTATGTGTACTGTGTGAGTGTATCTTTGTGAAGAGAGCTGTTAAAGTACTTTTTAAAAAGTACTTAAGTACAAATTTAAGTACAATCTAAAAAATGTACCTAAGTACAGTAAAAGTACTTTCCTGTAAAATGTACTTGAGTACAAGTACTTTAAAAAAAAGTAATTATGAGTACATTTTGAGTACTTTCTGCTAATATGCTAAAACACTTCAGCGCTTATGCAAAACATCATATTCAATAACATATCCAGTATATTTGACAAATTAGGCTATTTATTACTAAAAATGTAAACAATATACAAAGCATTTGAATATACAATGTACGCACTGAAGGAAAGTGGAAATGGTCCGTGAAATAACCCCCCCCCCCCAAACAAACAGACGCAACTAGAGGGTAATTGATATTGTGAATAGAACTTGTTTGAGCAAGACAATGTGATCAAATGTAAGTCAGTCCAAGAGGTCGGAAAGTTCTACAGAAAAAGTATCCACATTGGAAAATGTAGATACAAAGTTGCTCTTATGAAAACATAAAATTAATGAAAATGGCAAGCAAAGAAATGGAAAAGTGCATTGAATTCTTCATTAACAAATCCTCAAGGAATCAATGTAGCCTTAAGCAAAAACCACTCAAAAAAAGTTTAAAAGAAATTTAGGCAGCCTAGAAAATTGTTAGATATACATTGAGAACGCAGTTTCAGTTTCAATTGATTATACTGGTAAGACTGATTTTGGTCACACTGTGTAGTCCACGGCGCCCACGGCAAACCAAAATACAATAGTTTCCTAGAGTCAAGTAAGTGTAGTGTAACCAAGGATTCTCTACTACAGTAGTCTCCGCCTAAGATCCCAGTGCTCAGAAGCAAGAAAAATATGGGATCTCAGCCAACGAAGCCAAGAAAGAATCTACAGTGACCCATAAACCGACGTGACCCCTGGGTGGATTTATGACATATGGCGAGCAAAGAGTGGTCAACCTTGAAGACTAATCACAGTGGCATGAGGCATGCCATAAATAATATACACACTATTTAGCCTATCGTGAGTCTTGAGATATTTATCTACGTTTATCCAGTTGCCCCTCCCCTTCACATGTCCAACAATTTTAGCTTTCCATCTCTGATAAAGTCCCTCCCTCCCCCCAAAAAATCGCCTTTACTTTGTCGTTACGCACCATTGCGTTGTGAACACACCAATTAAAATTCAGGCTGTCCTCGCAAATTCGATATATAGAGAAAAACTACTTTCAATGGTCAGGGAAGAGTTCACAGTTTGATGTGATCCCGCCTGGAGCCAACTTGTAGGCCCTACCCACCCAGTGAGTGATGTAAGTTTAGGTGGTGAGCTCAGACGCGAGTGCGATGTTTGGGGAAAAGAAACGCATCGGTCAGTTCACACCTTGGTGTGATCCCATCTGGAGCAAACACTGTACCGTTTCATGGAGTTCTACAACGCTTGTGATCACATTCACGGTAGTGGCTGATCTTTGACGTGACGGGCCGTTCTTTAATATCAACTTTTAACTCTTGGTTGATCGGCTGTGCCCGCCCCGGTGTTTGTTCCGTAAATTATGATCAGAAATGCCGGCACTTACCCTTTCATTAAGCTTCAAAAGTACTCAAAATGTACTTTTAAAATACTCAAAAGTACTTTTATAAAAAGTATCGGAGTACAGTAAAAGTACTGGTTTAAAAAATATATCGGAGTACACTAAAAGTACCGAAAATTATAACATAAGTACAAGTACCGGAGTACTTGTACTCCGTTACAACCAGCTCTGTTTGTGAGTGCCCATGGATAAGAGAGTAAGATAGAAAGAGGACGGGAACATTCCCATAAAGAATCAAGTCTTAGCCATTGTTTATATCTGTCACAAGAAAAGGGACTTTCTTGCATTAACCACCTTATTAATATTTCTGTTGGTATGATGCAACAAATTTAAGCAGAGAAATTACACAATACCTGAGAGAGAATTTCTTCACAGACTGCATCTCCCATTCTGTAAAGAATTTCCTTCTGCAGACCTTTCCAGGTGATATCTCTGCGTACCCTTAGCACAGAGGGAGACGCAAACCTGAAGTATGCAAAAAGTAAGAATAAAATTTTATGAAATCTGCCCCATCTTTCTTCAAAATCAACTATCGAGTACAAAAATTAAAAAAAACAATAATCATATCAACTTCATTGGTCTCAATTCAGAACTTTAAAAAAAGGGGGGAACTTTCCGCATGATCGCGACAGAAGACCATTTTTTCGAAACATCCATTATTATTATACTGAGCATAACTTGTGGCGTCATTTCGAAAAGCAACTTCGATTCCCAGTTACTTCATTTCTACTGGCCATTTTGGGGCCCTGGAACGAGCATAGTATCGTTCAATGTTTACTCTCTCCCTCACTGATTCCGAGGCTGTGACAGTGTGTAATTTTGCTGAAAAGAGAAATCCCACGAAGTCTTGTGCTCTGTCATCATTTGTTATGCTCGAAAGAACCAATCAGAAAACGAGAAATAATAGGGGTGGAGGAACGCGCATTGTTCCTGTCAATCATTTCAAAGAGTATTGTTGTGCGATGCAAGACAACGAGAAGAATAACGATGGAGGAGCCGAACTCATTTAAGTTTTCTAATGCCGTCATCAAATCTTAATATGATATGTTCTAAAAAAAGCTGTTATGTCCGAAAAATGTTTCCCCCTATATAATTAAATTTAAACCAAGCTATTATTATTTTTTATTTTTTAAACTTTTTTTTTAGTAGAGGGTTTTACGGCGCTCGCAACTGCATAAGGTTATATGAGCGCCAATGGGTGGGTGTCAACAGAGAAGTCCTTACAGGGAATCAGACTTACTCTGCTCACCTCTCTAGTTTCAACAGCACAAGGTCTGCTTCGAATATCAAGGCACCCCGAAAATAGCAGGTCACAAGTGTCTAACAAACATACAAAAGAAGTAGAGGAAAATGACAATAGTAAGGATTAGGAAAGAAAAAGCAGCAGTTCCCTGTTGCAAATCAGGCACAGTAATGAGCATGACATGATGAATCAGCCCATTTACAATTCTACTGTGCTTGAACGAGAAATATCCCTCCTTTGGGAATGGCCTAATGCAACCATGTGTGCTTGGCTAGGTGTCAATAATAGGGGAAAATTTGATATATAAATTGATATGTTCCAAAATGATGACAAACATATAACATTATGTGTCATAATGGTTATATTCGAAAGATATTTGGTATTTTGGATAGAGTCATAGTAAAATGGGAATAAAGTGGCATTTTTTCACCATTAGCATGCATTATGAGTCAAAGTGAATCTCCTGAATCTTTGTTTGCCAAAATAAAAAAATAAAAATTAAGACATAAAAATGGATAGTTTTTCATTTCTTTCGGACATAACTATGATGACACACATGTGAACGCAACAATATTCAGAATTTCTATGATACTCACCATTTTATATGCTCTTCTCACTTATGGTTGAAAATTAAAGCAATCAGAAAACTATTAAAATAATTTTATTGTTCAATAAATTACTTTTCAGGGTACTTTTTTGTTTTGTTTCATCATGGTTATGTTCGAAAGATATTTGATATTTTTGAAGAGATTCATAGTACTATGTAAATAAAGTGGCATTTTTTCATCATTAACATGCATTGTGAGTCAAATTGAATCTTCTGAATCTTTGACAAAATTTTCTAAAAAGAAATTAAGATATGAAAATGGAAAGTTTTTCATTTCTTTTGGACATAACTATGACGACACAAATACAACTCCGTGCTCATAGCAATAAGAAAACTATTAATATAAAATTTTGTGTGTTCAAATTCTATAAAAATGTGTCATCATAGTTATGTCTGAAAGAATTTGACTTGATGTTTTGTAACGCCAGTTACACAGCTTAGCATGCCATCTGTAGGTCTGTAAATACATGTTTTTGTTAGAGGAGATATACATGAATAGAAAAATTCAAGTAAAAACGAAATATCAAAACCTTTATCATCAACCTTGAGACCTACATTTTAGGTACCCACCTATTGGCAAAGGCTCAAATGTAATTTAAAAGTGAAATCAACAAATTACATTCTGAGTTAAAGATTCACCTGTGTGCTGAAGTTCCAGTCACCTCTGTATGGACAACTAACAGCTGAGCTGTAGCAGAATCAAATTCCTGCTCTGAGACTTGCAAACTGCTTTCCCCGAGGCTCATCTCCATGGCATAAATCAGTTGGTTCTCAGGAATGTCTGACAGCAGTTGCTCATCACTGTAGGTGGCCCCAAAGCCATCATCTTTCAGCTGGCAAAGTACGAGCTGGAACAAAACAACAAAGGCATAGTTTACCGCCCTATCACTTTGTAAAACCCAGTGCAGTTAAGCTTACTATCCCTGAAAAAAACTCAGCATAAAACCTTAATCCAGTAACTTCATTAATCCAAATATAAAGATAATACCTGAATTAAAGTTCACTTGCATAATTTAAAAATATACTTTTATTAACAGGAACCTTGCTTTATTATTATCCCTGAACAAATCTATTGGCTGACTTAACTCAAATAAATATAAACCTGCTGGAGACAGACAAAAGAAATATTTCAGATGGCAATCACTATTCTCCTAAATCTTCCAAAGTACAGTAAGCAAACAATTCAAAAAAAGACATTGCAATGTTAAGATCCTTTGCATCCACATATATATATATGTATATATATTCATTTTCAAATCAAAGTGAAGGGCATTTGGTAAAGTTACTATCTGTATGCTGTGTAATTGTAATTGATTGATACAAATTCATAAGCCAACACAAACCTGAGAAAAAGGAATGTCAGTCTCTATTGAAACTTTTTCTTTCAAATCCCTGACACCATCAAACTGATTTAATGTCACTGCAATTTTCTGTTCCATGAGAGACATCGAAACAACCACTACATAAATAATGCGTGGACATTTCTGGGGCAAAGGTAAAGAAACGCAGAGGTAGGGATCAAAAGTGCTGCTGTGTTCACCACAGGTCGGACAAGTCAGAGTTGAACTGAAAAATAAGTATAAATACCACATATCACATATGTTACAGACATCAAATACCAAACCTGTTGCTTTCCCTGTACGTATGTGGGTGTAAGTGGGATTTATGGACATTCAGTTAAGGTGTAAAAACCTTTGCCTAAATTTAATTTCAACAAACCCCAAAAAAAAATTTTTTAAAGATGGAAAACCCTGCATTTCAGAGTCTTAATGTATTTTAACTATGTCAAGTAATCTAGGCATAGAGGAATCTTCGTGATTCTCACAGAGCAAAAACTCTGATGAAAAGTGGTTATCAAGTTTTATCTTATGTAGAATGTGAGAATGAGACAACCCCTAATATATCCCCCTTACATTAAAAAGTACACTTCAAGCCAAAGAACAAGTAGGTACGCAGTTAGTAAGTCATTGATTAAACCTTTATGTTTATCTTTAACGCTGTAGTAGTAGTAGTCTCACAACCCTCCTGTAATTTTATCTCTCCAGATTCTCAAACTGCATTGAAAGACAGTCAACCAAACAGCATTTCGTTTCACATGAAATGACTATAAAAGAAATCTTAACTCAGAATAGAGTATCTACTGAATTTACTTTAGAGCCAGTCATCACATTGCGCTAGTATATATCAGAGATTGAAAAGTTCGGCAAAAATGAGATTGTTTAAGGGTGTACTCCGGTGACTTTTATAATACCTGTGAAGAGCCTGGAAAAGTTTGAGAACAAAACTCTCTCCATTGACAGAAGCAGCTTCTGATGCAAGTTCTTCATCAGACTTTCCATTGGAGTTCTGTGAGAGCACCAAAAAAACCAAGATTCACTGATCAGTTTGTAAATCAATTGTCACGATGTAGTGGAATCAGTCAGGCGCTCGTCAATTTTTGGGCATCATGTGGAGTTATTGGTATCACCATACACAAAGCTTGTTCATTTTGTCTTGCTGTCTTTGAAAACATTACACATCTATCCTGAATAGGAGTCAAGATATTTTCAATTGAAGGAGATGGTGTTGCTTGGTTTCAGAAGTAAAATCAGCGAGAAATTAGCCAATAAAGTTGGTGGCTACCAAAGCTTGAGAGTCCTTGAAAAATGCAAATTTTCATCTTTTATGCCTTTGATCAACCTTTTACAGTAAAATCTACACATGAATGTGATATTAAACGGACATTAAAGATGTTGAGCCCCCCAAAAAAATTAGATAAAACTTGCCAAACATGCAGAAAAATGCCTATTTGTTCAATTTCAGTATTTATTTGGATGAGCGCCTGATTTCACCACATTAACATCCCCATCAAGACAACATTTAGACCATTTTGAACTATAAATTTATAATCTGTACATGTGTATGCTTGGTGAGTCTAGCAGAGTTCAAACACGATTGCAATACACATGTTGTGCTTTGGAATAAAATCTTATGCGAAAGGTGACTGCTTCAATGAATGAAGCATAAGTATTAATGAATAACACTATTTAAATATATGATTTATAAGACAGAGGCAGTAACAATACTATAGACACATAAAATGTTGAGTAACTTACAATTACAGAGATCATAAGCTGACAGATGCCAATGTATATCTATATACAGTAGTCTCCGCCTAAGATCCCACCGCTTACGATCCCGGTTCGCTTAAGATCCCGCTGTTTTAAGAAAACAGAATATTTAGTATACAAAAGTCACCCCTAAGATCCCTCTCTGATTCACTCTGAAGATCTACATTCGGCTAAGATCCCGCATTTCAGATCATAATTTGCGGAACAAAAACCTGGGCGGGACAGCCGATCAACCAAGAGTTTCGCATATTTTCTCTAAAGTTTATAAAAGTCACAATGAAGTTTCTCTATATGAAAAGTACAAATCGATTTTAGTGCTAGAATACATCTTCAATGTAGATCTAATACACGAACAGCATCTGTTACATTCCAGAAATTCCTTACTTTTCTTAAAACGTTAAGTCTAGGTTTTGTAAATTGACTGAATAATAGGGATGACCTCTCGTAATTGGGTTATAAGAATAATTTCTAGCTTTCCAGGGACACTGAATAAGCACCAGACTTTTCCAGCTTTATTTTTCGTTTCTATGACCATTTGCAATAACTGACAATGGGACTGATTTCTTTACATTCATAATTGAGTCCGTGCATATTTCTGACACAAAAACTAAGAATGAATGTGTTAGCTGTCATTATTTTTATTCCATACAAGAAGTTTATCTCTACCCATGTATTTACACGGTTTTGTGTTTTTTTTAATCACCTAGATTCTATATTATATCTTTTTAGTTGTATGCAGCCTGCCACAGACACAGCATGATTCATGAAAACGCAGAGTAACTTTCTCTTGTTTAATAGTAAAATAAGAGCTAACGCTGATGGTCTTTAGAGTTAAAAAATGCAGATGTGCATCTTTCTTCTCTTATAACTTGACTATTTCTACTCGCGCAGATTTAAGATTTCCCATGTTAAAAGACATGATATTATAGATATTCGTAGTCAGTTTACACAGATTTTGGAGAGATCTGTCGTGCCTTTTTTAAATCAACAATCATTTATTCATAAGTTTGTAATTAAAATAGGACAAATTGGCTACTCTACAAACACTTGTCTAGAACAAAAACTAAGGCACAGAAATTAACCATTCTAAAGTCTAACGCAGAATAAATCTCAAGACATTGAGCTTTTAGTACATTCGCGTAATGGTTTGCTGTGTGGGATGGGGAAGAAGTTATATCGTTTTAAACATAGTCAAAAATGCGAACATCCTGACCGACACCGGCAAAGTCGCTTCAGGGCTTATTAACCCCGTGACCCCGAGCCAGGGAGCTCCGGCGGGCTGCTGAGTCACGCATTAAAGTAACAGAATCGGGCGAAAAGTGACGCCGTGAGCCGTGTTAGATCTTACTAAGCCTACCCTAAGACCAGATCAGGGATCTGGCTGAAAGTTGAAAGACAGCAGAGAAGGAGCCAAGGAGTAGCAGTAGATAGGCTGCAGAAAGCGTCAGGAGCCCAGAGGAAGGGTTAAAGGGGAGGGAGCAAAAAGTGGAGACGAAAGCAGACAACAGAACAGGGTTAGAATGCAGTAAAGGAGGTGAAAGGAGAAGATAAAAATTTTAGAGAAGAAAATTTTCCGTTGCTGTCATGTTTCAAACTGGGGACCTATTGAATGAGAGGCGAATACCATATATACTGCTAGACCACAAGACCCCCCCCCCCCCAGCATGTTCTTTGATGACTGATAAAGAACAATAAAATACAAGAACATTCTACAGTTTTATTTTTTTAAATAATTGAGTGAGCAAAAAGTAAAATGCAAATGAACTTACCAGACCTGCAACATATGAAATGTCAAAATCAGGATCTTAGGGGGAACAAAATTGGGATTTGAAGAAAAAAATCGGGATCAACACCAAATCATCAAGGTGACTGCCAAGCTGACTTTAAAAAAATTTCCAGGGATGTCCATAAATAATATTCCCTCTGTGTGTATTTGAGTGTGTTTTATAATTTTAAAAAATAAATCTAAGCATCACATCAAGCACTCCTATTCCAAGTCTCTATTAAAAGTCTAACCCTCATCCACCCCAAACCAAAAGTTCCGATAGACACTTCAACCAATGTGCATCATGTTGACCCCATCAATATGGTCCCCGAAACAAGCCGAACTCACATGCTGTACAGTCATGTCACGAGATGCGAACATGCAATTAAATTGAAAGAGTTTTACTGACGGGCTCGACTTATAAATGCGCTTTCACACCAAACACATGGATGAGCGACAGTCGTTCTAGGCTAAAGACAACGGCCCACCGACCAGATGTACCAACAAATCTCTTATCCCTCATTTACGTTCAGACCAAAACAACGTAGCAATGACCACCAAACACGTTTTTTTGACAGAAAGTGTTTGCAAGTAAGGTGCATTTTGTAGCTCTGTCTCCACGGAGCATGGAACTTTTTGAATTTTTGAAATCCACCAATAAACAAAAAAGTTACGAATTTTTTAATCAATTAATTTTTGGTACACCTTTATATATGAAAAACCCCCAAAATATGGGATGTTCTTTGATGAGTTTTGAGACAATATTCGTCATAACTCGCTCATTTCTCTGAGTATTTAAATGAAACTTGGCAACCCAGTACGTTTTCTAGTGCAGAATCTAGTCCTGCTTTCAGAATTTTCATACCTATCCTACTTTTTGAGTTATGAGAAGACGTTTTAAATAAGGTAAAAATGTGGCGGTTTTCGGTGCGTTTTGAGACAATATTTGTCATAGCTCGCCTATTTTTTGGAGTATGTAAATAAAACTTGGCAGTCTAGTACAGTTTTTAATGCAGAATCTAGTCATGCTGTCAAATTTTTAATATCTATCATACTTTTTGAGTTGTAAAGACATTAACAGGTAAAAAAGTGGCGTTCTTTACAGATTTACAAAGATTATCAGTCATATATCTTCTCCCAAAGTCATGATATTTGAATGGAACTTGGCAACATAAGAGGTTCCTCCTTGCCAAGCAATGCTCTGGATCAATTTGTCATAAAAATGTAAGTAGAGAACTGGATTTATTAGTCTAATAAATCCAGTTCTCTACTAGTAAAAGCATGCATACTTTGTAATAGAAAATAAGATCGTCTCTGTGTATATCCAGTGTTGGTCAGGTGTTGTCCTATTGTGCGGTAGATTAAGATGCGTTTAGATAATATAGTTTACAAGTCATGGGAATATTTCGCATGTGTAGGCTACAACTCATACTATAAATGTAACATATATTTACACCCCCCCCCCTTCTCTCTCTCCTCTCACGCACACACATACACACATGAAAGCACGCGCACTCACGCGTTAACGATATCAATGTATAAATGGGACTATCTTCCCAGACTGGACTAAATAAGTACCGTACTCTATTTATAACAATCTTAATGCCTCACTTTTCCAAACAGAGCACACAGGACGAGTCCAAGTGTACGTGCTTTCCCCAGAGGGGCGAATAGGCTTTCATAACGCAAACACAATGTCATACCACTTCTCAAGATGTTTGCTTTTCTGTTTCTATTCTTCTGTCATGCAATCAAGCAAATAAAAATGACTACATCTATTGTATTGTTGTGACTAAAATGCAACAAAAATGCAAGTCATCAAGGCCCCTGTTCAGTTTTCAAGTATCCTTCCCCCCCTTTCCGGTTCACATAAGCGGGACCTCGTTTGTAGCGCCCGATGGCTGATGACGTCACTCAGTGGAAATTTCCCAGCCGCCGGTCGTTCACCCAGTACGCACAAACAGCAATGTCGCTTTTTCCCTTAGTTACTCCCACATTTTTAAAGATTACACAAAAACCGCTTAACACAGAAGCATGAAATTTTAAGGGAATAAAGAAAAATGGTGTACAATGTATCAGTCAGTTTGACAACTCACAGCTCCAAAAAATCTTCAAAGAGCACCACATCAACCACTTTCGCAAACGTTTTCGACTACTTCTTGGATGGGTACAAAGTTGTCAAAATGCATACTACGAGATTGACCTCATTTCTGATTGGCTGCCAAGTTTCATTCATATATCTATTCACGAGAAGCGGCGTGAGAGCGAGTTGAAGTCACAACCTTTGCGTTAGTGCGTCCCACGAAACACCCCCGCGGCGGGGGCCAAAAATCGGCAGAACAAAACGTGCTCCGTGGGCATTGCTAAACAACGACAATGGCCAAGTGTTAGTCTAGTCAGCGCAGTTAGCTGAAAGGGTTTGAACGACTGTTGTTGCTCGTCCAAGTGTTTGGTGTGAAAGCGCGGTTACTAAACCTCGGACAAGGCTTGTTTAGAAAGTAACAGCAGGACTATGAATATTAACAATTATTTGTATGTCGCAATTGTAACAGCTATCATGCTATCATCAGAGAATTCTGAGAGCGGGCAAAGATCAAACACAACATGGGGAGAGTCAGCTTCTAAATTCGGCATCAGATCAATATTTTTGAAAACGAAGTGTATACAGACCCAGTAACCGGGAACAAAGTCACGAAGTATCACAGAATTCTGTGCGAAGTATACAGACCCAGTTTGGGGAACTCTTTTGTGATGTCGGAAAGTTTAGCGCCCAGACCCGGTAGGGTGTGTGTGTGTGTGTGTGTGTGTGTGTGTGTGTGTGTGTGTGTGTGTGAGAGAGAGAGAGAGAGAGAGAGAGAG